AACCATCGGGTTGTTGTCCGAGATACGGGGCAGGATGTTCTGTGCAATCTGCGCATATGTGCTGGTCTGGGCCTCTGACTTGCTGCAATACTTGGCAGCATAATTGATAACAGCCTCCACACTTGTGCAGGGCGAGCAGTCTGTATTGGCCAGCCAGCAAAGAGATAGCAGCGGATTGTACTGGTTCAGATGGGTGTCGTTGCGCTCTGCCTCGAACGACCACCAGCTCTTTCCAGGCCTCTTGATGACCTCGGCCGCCTCTCGTGCAGGCCGAGGGAAGAGAAACCGACACGCAGGCTCTGGCGCCGGCTGTTCTTCTCCGGCAGTGCCTCTGGGCGCTTCGGCCCCCCCTGGCCCGCTGAGCATCCTTCTTCGTCACTCGCAGGCAGTAGGTCGACGAGCAATGATGTCGTTGGCAGCGGTTGACGATTCTGTTCAACCACTCCCAGCTAACGGGCGTCTCCAGAGGGTCAACAGACAGAGGGTTACCCTCGTCAGCACCCTGGTCCTGCTGTGGGTTTACCGCTGTGATGTGGTATCCCCAGATCCCAGCAAACTGCTCCTCGATTCGGAAGTCGACATGTCAGAATCGGGGCTCCTGTCAAACCAGTATAGGCCATGGCAATGGCTGCTGCCACGGCCCTGCCACTCGTACCGATACCAAAAAGTCGGCCAGGTTGAACTTCTTGGCGAGCACGATCCTCCTGAACAGCTTATTCCGCGAATGAAAAGCAAGCCGCGACATGCGGGTTCTCCCGCAATAGTCGGCGGGACTTGGCCATGCGTCTCTGCTCATCAAGTGCCCTCCACTCCTCGTATTCAGGCATGTGCTGGTAGAGGCTCTGCCAGTGCAGATCAGCCGGGCTCAGTGTGATGAAAGCAGAGGGGACACCGAGGCAGTGCGCAAAGACTCGCACTCGCGACGTCGACGGTACCAAAAGGGACGTGTGCCTTTGATGACACCAGCAAAACGAGAAATCCGGTTCAAAATAGCCTGGGCTTCCGGCTTATCCGGGTCTTCAAGCGCCTCCTTGAGGGCTTCCTTCGTAAGAGGTGTGCGGTGGTTCTTGCTGACGTAGAATTGACTGTGACCCTCGCCTGTTGCCTCATCAGAGTGTTCAGCGCGATGTACCGAAAGCTGTGGTGTTTTGCGAATCGGCCATCCTCCCACTTCATTGCATGTTGGATGTAATCTTGGTAGGAGATCTTGCGCTGCCTGGGTTCGACGAAATCCGCAACTCCCCGAGGAAACAGGGTCGGGCAAGCCAGTGAGAGCAGGGCATACCTTTGGTTGAACTCGTCGAGAGGAGTGCGTCGGATAGAAGGCATCTGCAGCTGATGAGCAGCCTGGGGGTCGACTGGCTGCAGGGGCACTTGCTCAATGACTTTTTCAGCCCCGTCGTTGACTTGCCCTTGAAGCTGGTTTAATTCCGAGTCGTGGATCAGCATGTTTGGCACCGCGGCTTCGTCAATAGCCTCACTGCCCTCTTCCGCCTCTTCAATAGGGCCAAAATCTGCCAGCAACTCTCCAGACTCCTCGACCTCGTGGATGTTCAACTGGTCAAAGACATTGCCGTCCACTGGCAACTGAGAGAGGTTGTTGTAGTTCCGATGAAGGCCACTCAATGTCGGGGTCTGCGAGGGCGCTTCGCCGTGGCGTCGCTGAACACGGTGCTGTCGCTGGATCACTGAAAGCTGGTCGCGAGCAGCCGCCATCTTCGGTGTATCCGTAGCAACACGTCCGCGTTTGTGGTACCTCTCGGCAAGAACGCGGTGGGTAAGGTTCTGTCGAGGCGCAAGTGCGGGCGCAAGAGATCTTGGGTCGGGCAGAGGAGTGGCAGAGCTTTCGCCACGGCTGATGGCGCTCAAAGCCGAAATCCCAACCCTTGATGCAGCTATCTGTTGCGGGTCAGCCACACGAAACGGAAGGTTATTATCACCTTCAATCTTACAGCTGCCTTTTGTCGGTCCCGGCACTCCAGGCAGTTTGCAACAACCCTGCCATTGCCACGACGATCGTAAAACTGGTCAAGAGCTTTCTCGACGCGGCAACTGTGGCATACCTTCTGGGGGGCCGCCAGTGTCGTAGGGTCCTCCATGGAAATAGTGAAACCCGGCCATAACGGAATCACACTCAACCATGGAAACTATAGGAGGCAAAAAACGAAAGTATTGAGCGTGCGATGCTGAAATTGTTGCCGTTGGTGCGGTAGAACTGAAGTGCATCTCGAAAAGATTTGGTTGCTTGATTGTCTGACTGCGCAGCATTTGGCTCTGGCTGGAATGTGGGGTGAGACTGTGGACCGGGGTGGCATCCAAGGACCAATCCACAGTTTTAACACAGACCCACTTACTGTTATCAATTTCCCATAATAATTTAACGTTATCAATTTCCCATAATAATTTCGAAAAGTTTCAGAACAATATTGTCCTCCGGACAGGATTAAGCTCCATACATCAACACCCCTAAATTCACGACCCGGCAGTTCACACTCTTGGGTCTTCCAGACACTGCATAACCCCCAAAAAGCCAACTCGCAGTCAACGCTGATTAAAACTCGCATTTCCAGTCATAAAAACAGCCCTCCAACTTCAATATTAGCCACTATGGACCGGCTTACCAAGGCGACGATGGCTATAATGCACCAGGTGGCCCTCCTTCAATCAGAGAACGATTCGCTTCGTAAGGCCAATGAGGCATTAAGCAAGAGTCGGAGAGCCAAAGAGAACGCGTATGCAGCTTGAAGGGTCACTTAATATACAGGATGCACAGAATGTACTGGGCCAGACGGTCGTAGGTGGGGAGGAAGCTCAAGAAACGCAACCGGATAGTGGTGGTGCAGGGGGTGGTCGTACGAAGGTTCGGTGTTGTAGTGTATGCGGCAAGCTTGGCCATAATGCTCGCACATGCCAGGAGGCTGCAGAAGCATCTGATTCAGCTGTTTTCGATGTAATTATAGTTAACTTCTAGCGTTGATGCGTTGTAATTGAAGATAGTTGTTGTGGGGTAGTAAAAAGTGGTGCACTCGGTGATATGGTGCACTTGTTGATAAGATACGTTAAGAGAGGATAATGTCATTGCTAATTCGAACGAAGAATGAGAGAAGAGACACGCGGCCGGGTTAGAGGAGAAGCGGTGAGAGGAAGGGGAGGAGGAGGAGCAGGATGAGGCAGTGTTGTGGGACCAGAGAAAGCGGTTTAACCCCGATATGCTTGTTTCATTATATCTGTCCCTTGATGACCTGGGCGATGACAGTTGGTATATAATTCGGGTGGGAGACAATCCAATTGTCCGGGACCTCTAGCCTGCATGTTCTCGCCAACAATCGAGACGCCGAGAGGTATTCAATCCAAAAATCTTCAGACATCACTCTCTCTCTTTTTTGTTGTTTATTAACAATATGGACACTAATTCTATCCAAAAACGCCAATTCTACTCTGCGCATTTAGATCCAGTTCACGTCTATAGCATCTACCATGTATGCCGCAATCCTGAAGCAGCAAAACCAAGGGGGAAAAGAAACCCCAACACCTTAAAACTACACCTTAACGCTGTCCCACCACCTGCTGTTTCTACTCTCTACGCCGCCGCCTCAACCACCTCCCCATTCATCGGTTCCCCCGCCCCCAATACTCCGCTCAGCCAGACGGTTCAAATAGCTAAGATACGTCTGCCACCCAACAGCAATCACCCCACCAAACACCGGGCGGTACTCGAGCGGAAGAAACGCAAAGTTGAACGCCGTCACAGCCGGCCATAGCTTGCACGAGTTGACGCAGCTGACGGGCACAGTCTGCTTGATGCGCTCCCACGTCTCGGCCATGGTCGCGCCTGACAGCGCCGCTTGCATCCCGAAGAAGTAGGTGTTGAAGATGGGCGTGAAGCAGATCTGGTTGATGATGACCTTGGTGGCGATGGAGAGAATTTTGGAGGGGTAATTGAAGTTGTTGGAGAGCCAGACGAACCTGGGGATGTCAGTTCCCAACTCATGACAACGGTGCCGTCGGATACCCACCATTCATAACTCGGGATGGATGATATCGAGCCGATCAGCAAGGACCGTGCCGTCCTCTTCGGGTCATAATCCCGACCGCCCATACTTTGCGCCGAAACTGCCGCGGTCTGTCAGCACCAAACCCTCACAACATCCAACACCATTCAAGGATCCGGGAATCGGAACGACCTACCGTCAGAAGCTGCATAAATAGCCAGTGATGTGCACACCTGCGTGATATACGGCCTTTTGCGCTGGGCACGGGCATATGCCTCAGCAGCCCTTGACAGGGGACCCAGCCTCTGCCAAAAGTTCAGGGTTGGGACATTGTTTGGCGTCGGTATCTGGCCCTCGGGCTGGGGCTTGACACGCTTTGCGACCGCATCGCCTTCGGTCGAGTACAGCCGGCCCTTGCGCAAGCTTTTGAGGTGCTCGATTTGGCGCCGGAAGAGCGTCCTGCAGCAGGAGCAGACCGCCATTTTGGATCTGATATGCTGGTTTCCTATGTTTCAATTTTACTGTGGCTTGGTTGAAGGTTTGGCGGAAAGATTATGGGTTGCGCTCAGACCGGACGGTCAGGAACGGAACGGGTGCGTGGGCCTGGGTCTTTGTCGGAATACTGATCGTCCCGTTATTATTAGCGATGACTCGGCACTGGGTGCCAGCGCATTGTCCGCTGTTTCGAGCCAGGCGGAGTCACCCCAAATCGCGGCATAGCGCGGCAATTCGGGCGCCGCCGAGCTTCAATGGCAATCCGACAAAAATGGAGCTGTGCGTGTCAGATTTGATGCCGCCAACAGCTCGGCTCTTCTGACGCCAGCACGTGGCAACTTAGCGCCAGGGCTGACCACACACACCATCTCGCCCCTTGATCCTCTCTGCTTTCCCCTGGATTGCGACAAGGTCAGGAGTTCGAGATTCGCGTCTGACTCGAACATTCGCCGCAACAACCTGCATCCCAGGTCCCTTAAGATGCGGCATTTTGGGATTGTTTAAGCGGAGCATGCCCGGCTGGCGCAATCGGTAGCGCGTAAGACTTCTATCTTCATTGCTCTCAGGAGCAGAGAAGTCCATCTTAAGGCTGTGGGTTCGAGTCCCACGTTGGGTGCGCCAATGTTTTTGCTCATTTTCTCTCTTCTTTTTTTTTTTGCTTTCATCTTCCTTTCTCTCACTGCCCCACTTTTGCTATTTTCATGTCCCGTTTTGAAGTTTAGCATTTCACCCTGCAACACGAACACCCGAAATAATCTCGGCAACTTAAAACATTCACCAGGGTATCTAAAAATGACTTTTACAACAAACGATGATGCCGGTTGAAGGCATCTCCCGATTCTTTATGCTCCGCCAGAGTTCACGACGAGCTCAATGACTCGGCCGTCTTCGCAGCCACATGATCTGCCTCCGAATCCTCCCCTGATGACGCCTCCACCGCCTTGCTCATATCGACCGGGCGCTCCGGCACCATGAACACCACGACAGACGTTGCCGGGATCGTAAACCCAAACATGACAAACGCAATAACCAGGTTGACCATGGGCGACACCTTTGCGGCGCCGATGCCGAACGAGACGCTGGACCCAATCGACTCAAACGTCCGAACAAGACTGACGGCCAGCGTCAGGGTCTCGATGTCGTCGAAGAAGGTGCCCACGATCCAGTACATGTACATGTAATGGGACTCGTTCAGGAATCTGGGACAGTCAGCATGCTTTTTTTTGGTCTCTCGTCCAAAAAGCGCCACTCAAACATACCTCATAAAAACCATCGACGCGAAACCCCGCCCAAAGCCCGGGCTGTCCCAATCGAGCGTGATCCTGGGGTTCGAGTCGCCGTACAGCTTCTCGTTGGCCGTCTGCCAGGCAAAGCTGCCCGCCATGGTGACGACGAAGAACAGCCAGCACAGCTTGGCCAGCGTCGGCCGGCTGAAGTACTTCAGGTCGTAGAACCAGCCCCAGAAGACGTTGGCAAAGGTGGCTGCGACGCCCGACGTGAGCGAGCCGAGGGTGCGGGCGCGGACCGAGAAGCTGGGGTCCTGTCAGCATCGTTGCCCACAGTCGAAGAGGGCATTGGAGGAGACTTACTACTTCGTCATGTAAATCCCCAGGTACGTCGCATTCCACTGGAATCCAACCAAGATTGGGATCAGCAGGAACATCTGCCTGCGCTTCATTAGGCCCCAGGCCTTTTTAAACTCCTCCTTGATGGTTGTCTTTTTGCCCTCCGGCTTGGTACGGCGGTTCCCATCGCTTTGGATGACCTTCTCAGGCGGCGAGATGAGGAACGCAAGCGGCAGGCCCAGACACTGCAGGGAAATCAACACCAAGTAGGTCGTGTACCCGACCTTTCCGCGCCCGCTCGACTTGACGTTCATCGACAGCTGAATTGACGAACCGATGAGCTGCCCGAGCTCGCGAAGACCGAGCCAGATACCCGCTGTAACCACCATTAGCCCCCCATTCACACTAGACCCTACACCAGGAAAGATAAACTCACCGAACTTCCCCCGATCCTTCACCCCTCCATAACCCAGCGCAATCGCCCCCTCAGCCGCCCACAGCGCCGACGCAGCAATGCCGCACGTCACGCCGCCAAACAGTACAAACCACTCTGTGCCGTATCGGTTGTTGACATACAGCGAGGCAGAGTAGGGTGCATACCCCAGGGTGCCAATGATCAGCACCTTCTTGACGCCGATCCGGTTGGCGATGACGCCGAAGATCGTGCAGCCGAAGACCATCAGGCTGGAATTATTACAGTCAGCTCTTGGGTAATGATTTTCATAGGGGAAGTGGGGGGCGTACCCAAAGGTCAGCGAGTTAGAGCCATTGACCAGGTACGGCTCCTGCTGGCCGCCGGCGCCCGTGTTGTTGAGCGCATTCCAGATGCCGGGTTGGGTGAAGGAGATGAGGCCGACAATGATGACGTTGAAGAGCGGGCTGCGGTACCAGCGGGTGAATTTGGAGACCGGTTTGGTGGTGGGTTCCTCCGAGGATGAGCTGGCGAGTTCTAGGGTGGTGTCGTCTGAGGGTGGCTGTTTCTCGATTTCGTTGTCCGTTGGGGGGGACATTTTGGGTTGACCACGCCTGGTGGTGGTGAGTTGATGCCGGGGGAGATGAAGAAGGAAATCAAGACATTCTCTTGCTTCCGCTGCGCAGCATCACCTTCTTTTAAGCCTCCGCCTTGATCGACCGTGATCAGTCACCTCAAAATCCTACACACCCAAACCACCGGCTCCGGTGCTCATCGACCGGTGTAAGCCGTCGGCAGACCCACACTTCCGGCCCGTTATTGAGAGGCGTCATGGGCCGAAGTGGGGCGTGTCCGTTCCGTTGGGCATAGCGGCATATGTCGTGATGCGGGATCCATTATTGTGAGATGGCGCCGCGGTCCACTTGTGGGATTTTATCCCCTTTGGCGTCCCCCGTTCCAGAAATGCGATCCACTCTTGACTGCATTCCGTGTTCGAGGCGGTGGCGATCCGCTTTGCAGGGTTGACAAGCGCGAACGTGTGCCCGGTGTCGGGCAGGGCCGCCGGCAGTTGTCTTTGTTTGCCAGGATGGGAAGAAAGTGCCGAATAGCGGTGTTCTGGCGGGATGCTATGACGACATGAATGGTGTGTATATGCCACGCGATTCCCGGGGTAAGGTTAGGTGATCATACAAAGCAGATTTCGATGTTGTTGGATAGCAACTAAGGGGCAAGGGGTGTTTTTGTTGTGGAAGAATTGCGAGATATCCAAGGGCAAGCCAAGGGACTAACCATGTCCTGAGTCTGACCAGGTCTGGGCTTGGTATCCAGAATCCTAGCCCTTGATGGAAGGCAGTATCTGCAACATGCCTACATGTTCATTCCTGACTGAGCCAGTGAAGTAGATGGCGTGCCTTGGGTGACTGTGTCATTGTGGAGGGGAGACTTACCCGGACATGCATACTGTTAGGGCATCTTTGCGAGAAATTTAGCCGGTAGTACGCTGCCGCCATTATTCCCCTCTCTCGACCACCAACGGGAGACTCTATTCAAGGACAAGACTCTTAAGAAGCACGAGGGACTGAGCAAAGCGAAGAGCTCGTTGTTGGTCCAGATCCGAACTGGGGACATAGGCCTCCGGGACTTCTTGTTCAAACGGGGAGTCCCGAGTGTGCTGACGCCCTGCTGCGAGTGCGGGGAAGGGCGGGAGACTGTCGAACACCTGGTGATGTGGTGTTTGGCCCCGCCGTTGACTCGGACGTGGGAGAGAACAGAAGTCAGGACGCGACGGGACTTTTACTCTGTTCTACAGGGTGCCAGTCCTTCGACTGCTCGGCTGACGAGAAGGATACTGGGCTGGCTGATGGATTCAGGAAAACTGCCGATGTACAGCTTGGCTAGGAAGCTCGAGCTGGAGTAGGCAATCTGACTCTGACTCGTCGAAGGCCAAGAGGCCTTCTCCTTTTGTATTTCGCAGGCTCATTCACTGATTTCTTACCTTAATCGTCGGTACAGGTTTTTCACCCGACCCGCAAGGGCGCGGTTTTCCTGTACAGTAAATAGCTGAGGGTCCGACATGCCCGCAGGGCACAGCGGCGTAGGAATAATAATATTATTCCCCTCTAACTCCACCCTATTTCCAAATAATATTCTCCCGTCACTTACTGGATGCCACTTTGAGCTGCACAGTTGAGATGATCTTTGAGAGGAGTGAAGCTCAGGGGGCGTCGTGGGGGGTGCCTCGGGCGAGATGGGGGTTTATAAGACGAGGGTTAGGGTTATTGTCAACTTCTCCAGCCCCACTAAACTCTTCGATTTTGCAGCTTCCATTGCAGTTCAAAGTTGCTCAACTTGCTTGACGACTCGTTTGTTAGTTTGTTTCTAACCTCAATCATCTAGAATTGGTCAGCTGGGAAAACGAGCACAACATGACGCAGCCACAAGACCAGTATTGGCCAACGTCGAATATTTCCATTCGCCAATCCATCCGTTGGCTGCCAGATGAGGAAAGCGAGCCGGCGTCAGCGATGGTGCTGCTGACATCAGAGAATCGCTTTGTTGACCTCCGCATATTGGGGCCATTGCCGCCTTTGGTCGTTAACTGGCCCATGACGGGTAGTTGTGAGTGCCTTGATTATGCCCAAAACCTCTGTCGATATCAATGCTCATCGCCGCTGCTCCAGGTCGTGAGCTGCCGCTGTCCCGTTTGGACTGGGCCATCGCCGGGCTGTCTGTCACAACGACTGACGACGGCACTGACGGGACGGAGCCAGCCAGTTGGTTTAATATCGATAGAGAAAACAAAACGGCAGGGAATTGGGCCCAGCACAACAAATGGCACCATTGGATAGACTCGCGCACGCCCAATGCTGACGAGGTTGTTGACGAGGGCGACGTCTTCGAGTGTCCCTTCAGTGCGGAGCTTATTTTGGAGAGAGGCAGGACCATAAACCCAGCCACGGATGAGATGGCCGACTACGAGGAAATATGGCGGTCTGTAGTGCCAGAAAAGCCACCCATGGTGAACGCCACCCAGCCTCAGCTCGATATCGAGTGCATAGCATTGCAGTGGCAGGGCGACTGTGACGGGATGGGGCAGCAGCCAAAGGTTAGGAGGGGTCTTGTTGTGCGCGTGGGAAAATACTGCCAGGGATTCATCCGCGACGGGGATAACATCGCTGTCATCCGAGAGGAGTGGGATGACCAGGCGTTTCTGTGGAAGACAGAGGTCAAGATTGGAAACATGGAGATGCCAATCCTGGCTGCGACGAGTTGTGCCTATAGCTTTTGGCGTGGTGCCAAAGTGAACTCGGACGGGAGAATCTGGGAGGTTGTTGAATGGGTGAGATAGGGTGACCGCAGTCAAGTTTCCACTGGACTCTTAATCTGGAGCACACAATGTGCGGGCCTTTTTGCTGGGAAGTAACAAACAGTCTCGGCGTCTGACTGACATTTCAAGTTTGTTTGCAGTTGGGATGAAAGGCAAAAGCGTCAAAGCAGGACACATGACCAACTGCGACCGACTGCTACAGAATATCGGCCTCTTCAGAAGTCTTTTCTTTCCCAAACCTGCCGCAATACCATCTCCGCAAATCCCATCGACAAAACAACATCGGCTCGACCGCCACGATGCTGACACCG